GGACGTCCACCTTCTCTTTTAAAGGGTCACCTCCTGCTCCAAGTACTCCTCCTCGCGCGGACCAGGCCAAAGAAGCCACAGATAGGCTAGAGGATCATTTCGTCAACGTCGTCGATGACGAGATCGTCGCGCACGTCGACTGCTCGTGTTCCTCACTCGCGGATCGCTTTCTTTCTCTCTCTCTCTCTCTCTCTCTTTCTCTCTTTTCTTTTCCTGGCTCGCGTGCGCGTACACACGGAAAAAACCGTCCCCGTCCTCCTGCCAGAGAGAGAGCCTAACTCCAACCGCCGTCACGTAAATGCCTGTTCCTTCTCTCTCTCGCGCGCGCGCTCTCCCTCGTTCTCGCTCTCCTCTCTCTCTCTCTCTCTCTCTCGCGCTCTCTCCCTCTCTCTCTCTCACTCTCGTGCAACCCGCGACCTGTCAATCCACGATCTTCGCCACCATCTGATTGCGTTCTTGTCGCTTGCACACTGGACTCTCCTGGCTCGACCGACGCTGCTGCCTCCGACGAGCGACGACAGCGGCGCTCGACGCGTGCGCACGATCTCTTTGCGAAAATCTCGAGCTTCTCGATTGAAGCTATCCGCGAATTCCCGTATAAATAACGCGCCGCCATTTTCCATCACTAGCCGCGTGGCGGGTATTTTAACTCTTATAGCATGCAGAGTTGATAAGGGGTTTCTTTTAGAATAAAACTTTTTTCAAACATATTTTTGATAATAGGTTTAAAATGATATTATAAAAAAAAAACGTGTTAAAAACATCGATTAAGTATGTTTTAAATAGTTTAAAACGTGGTTTTTATCAATCCTGACCCGATGTGACTTTGAATATTAATGCTCTAATTTACATCGTACACTCGATACGGGTATTAACTAGTAATTTTCTATTAAATTATCTTAATTTCGATGATACGTGTAAACATATATACGTATGATATTTAATTAATTATTTTCATGCATATTGTATCAATTTATATCATTTCATTCTTTAAATTTCCGAAATTAAAATAATTTAATAGAAAGTTAATACATACATCAAGTGCTCGGTGTGGGAGGAAAGGGTCAACATATCGATATCTTATTGATTTATTTAATTTTTAAGAACAAAAATTTATATATAAAAATTATATAAATTTTTTTATAGCCACGGAAAAAATTCAGGCTTAGAGATTAATGTCGATATTTGTATTGTGGAGGAATAATTTTTCCTGAAGTACATAAAAATTTAAATAGATTCGGATCTACAAGTCATTTTATTTAGACCATCAAAATATATATTGGATTAAACTGCGAATTGTTAGAATGTTAAAATTTTTTGCAATATGAACTGTGTTCAATAAAAAAAAAAGATCGCTGTAATTGTAAGATTCTTTAAGAATATATCAGATGTATAATCTTTGTAAAAAGTAATTGATAGAAAATTTATACTTTTTATATAAAAACAAATGTTATATACACAATAATTATTGAAACAATTTAATGAAATATATGTATATTTAATAGTACAATTTTATTATTTAAATTAAAAATTTCTCATCTTTATTTTTAAAAAATGTCTATATTGAAATAATTTTTAATCTAACTTCTAAATCGCCACCAAACTTTTTGTAGTATTGTTTAATATAGTAAAGAAAATCTGTAATTTTTTTCATAATTTTTTCGTTTTGTTAAAACATATGTATAATACATCTCTTTAATATGATTAGTTTATTCATTAAGATTCAATGAAAAACTAAGAACCAGAGGAATCTATAAAATAATATTTAAAAATTTCCTAATTTTTTTAATTTCTAATTTTTTAATTTTTTATTTCTATTAAAGAATCTACAACAGCTGGAACTGCTTTTTCTGCTAAATCCACCGATTATCACGCGGAAAGAATTATTTTGCTGAAATAAATAAAAATTTTTGAAATAGATCTTCAAGTGATTAATGTAGAAATCTTAAGCTGATGAGCAACGCTGCAAAATAATTTTTGACATTCTAATAATCAATTTGAACATCTTCCATAATTATTTTAATGTCTAAACAGAATCATTTTCTGACCTGTGTCCAACTGAATTGTTAAATACCTCGGTCAAATTATTCCTTCCGTGTATAAATGCTTAAGCCCGTGTCTCATTATGCATTGGTGACTGAAGATTGCGAATTAAAAATTAAAATTCAACTAGTCGAATAATTTTAATTTTAATCCGTTTTATTCTGAATTCTAATCTTCAATTCGCAATCCTCAATCTCTAATTTTAATTATTCTACTTATTTATTTTGATAATCCAACATTTTATTTTCAGATCTATTATAGTTAAATTGTTTAATACCTCAACAAAATCTTCTTTCTGTGTATTCTTTAATGTACCTTTTGATATTTAAATATAGAATGATTGCAATTTTATATTGTAGATGTTTATTCCAAATTAAACTCATCGTGTTCGCAAAATGCAGACATGACTACAACAGATCCGTTTATTTAAAAAAATTTATAAAAATTATATAAATGTTGCGAATGCAAAGCGGTACACAATATCGTCAGGATTATAAATACTTATAAATACAATATTGCTTTCGATACAATACATAAATTTCGTTTTTTTACATAACGATGAAACAATATTGATTATCACTAAAACCATTAGAAAATCTTGGACTAACGATTGAATCGTTCGAATACTAATGTGAACTAATTATTATTTTTATAAAAGTAAAATAATTTTCTGTAACCTTCGCATGTATGTGTGTGTCTAGTTTAAATATTGCTACATTATTTGATTAATATCCACTAGCATGAAGACGACATACGAAGAACTCTATAGCACCTTACTAGCAAAACTCTATTTTATAGTCAGTGCCTATATAATAAGTACTACATTAAGTATGTCGATATTACACATTAAGTACATCCACATTTATCTAAAAAATATTATCAAACAGTTCCTGATCTAATTTCGAATAACAGATTCGTGCAAAAGTTCACTACGCTTTGTATTCTGTAGCGTATCTAAAGTGAAAGACTTGCATTATTATTTTATATGTATATATAACAATGTATATAATAAAAAACTGACACTATTGAATGGCAGATTTAAGTTGGCACATACTTTCAGTATGAAATTGTTACTTTCAAGATGCATGCCGTAGTAAATCATAAATACGAGCTCTTAATACTATCAATGATCGAATACGTCGTATTACAAATAATAGATGAATGCCCCATAATGATATGTATATAATATATAATATATATATATATAGTGAGATATACGAGACTTTTTTATCTCAAATTAGGAAGTGAAAACTACGTTCCTCTTATATATTTTACTAAATCTATGACAAGTAAATAAGAGAAATATATTTTTAATCCTTTAGTATAAATTCATCTATTCATTATGTTGCTAATTATCTGCAACAACCTTCTTACATAAACACACCTAATGTTTACATGTGTTTATAATTAAGATTGAAATGGAATGCTACTATATCTTCAAATTTCCATTGACTTAAGTAAGAATAATTAATTGTAAATTTGTATAATAGATATAAAAGTTTTTACATTAACAGGCGAGTCACATAAAATAATTAGAATAGTACAGGAATACCATCGCTATTATACACATAATACTGGAAGATATTCTAAAAATCTTATATGTAAAAAATATGCCAAGAAAAAATTCTTTAATTTTATCTCTCAATAAAAGAATTTCACTAATTCATTAGCAGATAAATAATACGAGTATGCTTTGTTCATTAGTATCAGAAGCGTTATAGAATTCTATGAGCAATATAATAATACATCCATATAATACTATGTAAAATATATCAAAGTTATAAATTAGCTGTTGCTTATTACATCTGACGTTATCCAAAAAATATGGAGGTCTTGAAAACATCTAAAAGATATCTCGTAAAAAATCTTTTTAAGATATTTCTAAAATATCTTTATATTATTTGTATTAAAATTAAAAGTCAAAATTTTAAAATTTTCAATGGCCGATCTAATATGGCAAACTAATAATTCAGATAATTGTTAATACAATATTTAATATTTTATTATCTATATATAAAAATAAATTATTTAATAAAAAACAGATTTTAATAACTTTAGACGCAAGGACCAAAATATCTAGAAATTTTAAAACAATGAGACTATTTTTTGATAAAATTATAACTCACAGATAAATTATTTGTGAATGGCAAAACCAGTTCTCTTATCAAGACAATAATAAAATTATAAATAGCAAAGAAAATTGGAAAAATGTCACTACGTCTTTTGTCTAAAAAGATATTGTTTCGAAATGTTACAAAGGTATTTTCATTAAAATCTTTTTAGATCTTTAAATTTTGTTTAGATATTTTCTTTATATCTTCAAAATCTCGGTAATTTTTGGACAAAGTCATTCCATCTCATTTGCATGTAAAACATTTGATTTGGTTTGATTGTCATTTATACAATATTTTTCTAAATTTACGTGAGCACATAGAAAATATTGGTATAATATTGTTTTTATATCAAAGAGAATGTTATATTAAAATAACATGATTACATTTATCGTTTTTTTTTGTTCTAATACTTTTTAGATCGCAAAATTTTAAGTATGCGATTTTAATTATTACACATCACTTTGTATTTCAATCTATATTTATATATTTATGTTGTATTACGTTAATAAATGGTATAAAAAAACAGATCTATTAAATCTCCGTTCCAAAATTTATGCTTTTAACATACCGACGAATAGGAAGATGAAATGACTTATATATTTATTTTTCTTATTATAGATAATATAATACTATAAATAGGTATTTATATAAAAACATACAAAAAAACCGTTGAAAGCAATAAATAATTAAATTTGGTACATAAAAATTATGTTTACGTAGGAGTATTTTATCAGTCATTTCCTAATAAATAATAAAAAATCTAAATACAGTTTTACTTACAAGTTATACTTATAACAATTAAGTACATTAAATACTAAGTGAAGTTTGCCATGTTGTCCTGTTTCTTACAAAATATACACAAAGAGAAATATATACTTTACTCTACTGCTGTTTTTCGTGCAAATGCAGTCAGAGATAACATCTCATTAGGATCAGTTGGCAAGGGAGAAAATTCGATTTCTTCACTAATACTGTTCTCTGAAAATTGAAATAATTTATTTTATTGCATGATGCAAAATGTCGGCAGAATATATATTTAATAAAATTTAAACTAATATAATACCTATTATATACAACAATATATAAGAGAGACTAAGGTCCATATTCATAGTCAGACCTTGTACTTAAGACTTCCTTAAATTTATCTTTAGACGCTCAGTAGCCAATAAAATAATTCGTAGAGCATCTGAAGATAAACTTAAGGAAGCCTTAAATAAGGCCTGACTATGAATATGAGTAAAAATATATGTAGATTTCAATTTACCAGATGGCTCAATTGGCCATTGCTTATGGGAAGGCGCATAGAGACATAATAATGCAATAATATAAATATTCCACATGCCATAGACACCAGTGAAAAAGGCAGAAGTCATTTCCAATTGTAAATCTTCGTCCCATTTCCACTGACCTTCTGCAACCTATCCCAGGAACATTATGTATCATTTAACACAAATTTAAAAACAACGTTAAATACAATTAATACACAATTAAAACGTATATACTTCTTACCTGTCCAAGTATAAAACCAATGACAGTTAATGACGCGCATAACAGCGTGGCAATCATTAAAAATTTGAACCGATATATGATACCTTCATAATGCAGGCGACGAGCTGAGCTCATGCTAGGTAAAACGGCTCTCTTTGCACTAATGTTCATGAATACTTTCCATATCATATAAGATAAAAACAATAGATATACTCCAGCCGATATACCAGCCAGAATAATGAAAGATAGCTATTATTTCATTAAAGAAATTAATTTAGAGAATTATTTAAAAATCTTTTTTCAAGATAACTTTTTAAGATACAAATAGAAATAATTTTAAAAGGATACTGCCAACTTTGTGCCAAGATCAGTGACCCATATTGAATAAAAGGGGTTTCTCAGTTGTACCCCACGCTCGCACATATCGAATACGAATAGTGAGAGGCAACCGGTACCTACTGCAGAGAGATGCCGCCAGTAACATTTTAATGAATTGGTTTGTTCGCCCTCCTAAAATTGAAATGATTCAATACCTCGCAGTATTTAAAACAACAGAGGTTTGTACATTTAAAAAACTCTTACCTGAATCTAATAAAACCCAAGATGTGTGCATAGAATAAGAAAAAATACAAATTAATGTTAGTACAATGATTATAATAGTTTTCAATAATAAAAACTCAGTGTTCTTACCATTAAATGTTCGCCGGCAAATACAAGCCAAAATGATAACAATGTGGCATAGAATACTCCTTGTCGAATATCACCCAGCAGAAGCATAAATGGCATGTCATAAGCAAGTGTTAAATATTCTAGTGGCACTAAAAATGATATAATAATAATTTATAAATAACTGTGTAAACAAAAAATTTGAGAAATTATAAATCAAATATAGAACAATTAACACATACGATTTAAAAATGTTAAGGCAGAACCCAAAGCTAACAGCATGTACTCCAAAAGGGCAGGAGATCTAGATAGCATGTACACCCTTCTCCAATACCAAGCTAAAACACTTAATACCACTGGGAAATAAATGGTCTTTAGAATCACCCACACCTTTGTGAATCCACCATTTTGATTAATAGCCTAGAATAACAAATGATATACTAAGTTAAATAATCTTTATCGAAATTAGAATTGTATTCATAATACATTATAATCAGTCAATCAGAATTTTACTTACGGTAAGCCATAAATCAACAATGTGTCCTAATCCTTGATTTTTATCAAGATCAGAAGGGAGACGAATATTTAACAAATAATAATCATGATACAAAGATCCCAATTCAAACAGTGGCATAACGCTACAGTTGTAATTATAGTGCTCCAGTGGCTAAAATAAATTAGATGTTCATAGATTAAATATCTATATAGCTATAGCTACATGCAAAACGTGTTCGCTAATAATGCTACACAATAAATGCACCTACCTTGTCTATGCTACAGTCCAAAATTCTCTCCACAACAGAAGCAGCGTATGGTTTCCATGCATTATCTGGATCTCCCTTGTTTCGATAAGCTAGTCGTGCATCCAATGTTATTTTCGTCCTAGGAGCTACAAGAAAAAACCTTGTTGGAATGATAAGAACAAAAGTTTTAACAGTAGCAGATACATTACCGATTTCAATCTGGCTGGTATATGATATATCTACTTGTAAAACGCCTATTAAATTTTGCTGCCATCTCGAATAATCAAGTTGCATGCTATTTCGAGGTACAGGCATCTAAGAAAAATTTATAAGATTTTTAGTTAAAAAATTCTTTTTATGTAATTATCAATTATAAATAATTTTGTAAATTATACCTGGAATGTATACACAACTTGATAAGCCTGTTGACTGTCTAAAGTAAAGTGATGCATATCAACAGAAGTACAGGAACCTTCTCCTCTTGAGTAAAACCATGTATTTTTGTTGTAAGATCCATTAACACTAACGACTTTGCATGGCGTACCAAGAATATTCTGACTGCTAGCAGGTGTAGGTGCTAAAAGAAACATCATCATATAATTTTATTTTTTATATTCATCCATAGTTTATCTAAAAGATAATATTATATTTTATATCGATAAAAATAATAAGTGCTAAAGAAATATATATCATTACATATTTTATATTCATCTAAAGTTTATCTAAAAAATAATGTACATTCTATGTTATTATAATAAAATTTATATTATTTGTCTAAAGCGAACCTAAGATAATTTATAATTTATGTCAGAATTCGAAATTAGAATGATACTTGTAATTTTATATACAATACATACATCTAGTACACATATATATTTAAATATACGTCTTATTATATATCTATATAATCCTAAATCTTTAAATAGTTCATTTTACATAACAAAATTTCTATTTGCGCATGGAAAGAACGGTTTTACGATAGTATCTAACAATTTAGCTATGTAAATATAAATATTATATAAAAATAAAGTTTGTTGGATTATTAAAAAAATGATATACAAAATTCAAACACATAATGAGCAATCCTGTATATTTTGATGTTCTGTATAAATAAAATATACTACAAATATAAATAAAAAATAAAAAAAGATTCAACATAAATTAATTTAAATTAAATATTACAATCCCAAATTTAAAATACTTTATATGAACTTTGTATATATGTATATTTGAATATATATATCTTTATATATATATCTGCATAATTCTATGTCCTCAAACATTTTATTTTGCACAATGTATAAAATTATGAATAAAATTTAATTACTAAAAAGCAGACTTAACATGCGTTTAAAAAATATAAATAGGAAATAAAAAAATTCAACATATTTCAATCAAACACAATTTTACAATTATTTAAAATATTATTAACTTTTTATATACAAAATATAAAAAAATAGCTATATCATATAATAAAAATGGAATAAAAAGAAAATAAAAAACACAATATATATTTACAATGTCTTATTGTAAATTTATTGTTACTTAAATAATGATGCCTAGCGTCCTAGAAATGCAAATCCACGTGCGTGACGCTCTACTCACCGATCAAACCACCTACCAAGAAGCAGACTATTTGCGCGATTATCAGAAGTATCACCAACACGGAGAGCTTCTTGCCGCTCAGGTTTTCAATTATAGTGCCCTGCATCTTGTTCGTTCCTACGCGTCACTTCACGTCACTCCACTTCACGTTGTCGCGATTTTCTCCGTCCCGCGGTTACGTCGAGAAATTACCGGCACGGCACCCACTGACGCCGAGATACACACCGAATAAAATTGTGCGAGACGCAAGTGACAATAGGCTTGCGAACCGGAGTCGCCGGAGTTCGTCAAAATGGAAGCCAGCGATGGGGAACTTGCGGCACTCTGCGAAATTTCGAATTTCGAGATACATCGAGCTCTCGTGGCTATCCGGCGTCGCCGGCAACTTTTCGATCTCTCGACACCGCGAGATGTTCCTCTCTTTCGATTCTCGTTTATAGTCAGAAAGAAGCTGAGGCTGAGGCTGAAGTGTACCTTCCTGCAATTCCAGATAATCTTATTGAAGATTTTCTCGTAATTATTGTATTCATTCAAAACATATCTAAAGTCTAAAATATTAGAATTGCTTATACATTGACATTATTCTTGATCTTTTCTACGTTGTGCTTTTTTGAGTGTTTCACATAGAAATACTATTAAATATACTTGTTGCTCTTTTATGTTTTTGTTTTTTCTTTTTTAAGTTTAAATTGTTCCAATTTTTAGTTATTATTTTAAAATACATTGTTATTCAGTAATTACAAACAACAAAATCTAAAATCAGGGTATAAGATATCTTTAAAACAAGAGATCTATTTTAATAAGAATCGATGTAATTAAACATAAAAATCTAAGAGACACGTTTTTTTTTATATTGATAATCTTAAATTTAAGAAGTGAAACAATCTCTCTTAAAATTAATAAATATGAAATATTTATAAAATATTAGATTTTCGGAAAATCTATAAATACACACAGTTTTATGTAAAGTATATTTTAAAAAACCATAAAGTTTATCTAAAAACATTTTTCTGTACATCTCACTGCTTCACTGATAATCAATAAGAATCAAATATAAGCGTTAGTTCTTTGAGAGGTTGTTTTATTCCTTAATTAAATCTGTTGAACATAAAAATTTTTATAATTAACGACATATTTCAACTGAGATCTGAATCAATTCCGGACTGTTGTGACAGATCGCTTACTGTAAAATATCTTTCAAATAATAAACTAGCATCATCAGATATATGGTTCTCGCAAAACCGTTTTTAAAAGCAATTTTTCCCAATTTTGGATTTTGTCTCATCTGGATGTAATCTGTAACATATTAAGGAATAAAATCAAACAATAATACATACGTAATGTGGAACAAAATCAAAGATTGATTTTGCCGCCAAAAATATCCGTATATAGTTCAACTTGCACACTTTATTCACAGAGAGGCGCCAGTAAACGGGTTCTATTTAGAACGTGTATACGTTCCCTCTTAAGAGTTTCAGACTTCTCTCTTGTTTCGCGAAATGTAGATATATAAAGAGAGAAAGAATATCCACGCTCGCGTTTGTTCTTATGCCAAATAACGTCAATTCACATGTGACTCGTGTCGATGATGGTTGCATTTGACATTTTGAATGACATTTATACGTTGATCACGGGCTGATTCTTCGTTAAATCTTCCTGTTAGATTAATTTTAGGTTAAACATGGTAAGGGTACCAGTAGCATACTATGGATGTATCCATTGAATGCATTTTGCTCCTCGTCGTAGGTTTTCGTGTTAAATCTTCTCTTATTTTACGAATACAATCTCTGCGAATTGTTTTCGGAAACAATACAGGAATGCAATTTCAGGAATGAAAGAGTTAAATGTTATAAACGTAATAAAATCGTGCCTATGTGATAGTAGCGCAATCTTGCTTGTTTATGCCAATGTGAATTTGTTATGTGTGTTTTAATATACCTTCATGTGTTACCTTAAAAAATATATTTCTCTTTTTTCATGTAATATCATATATATTTGCGTTCTCATATCGTTTTTCTGTTATATATTTCTCTTATAATTTTCCTTATATTTTTCATATAATTTTTCTATTACTTATTCACACATTACAAATTTCTAATAGAAAAAATATACTTTATTCTCATATAATTTTTTTAATATATTTCTCATATCATTTCTCGATTTTTTATTGTACTTAGATTCTAATTAAAAAGTATGTACACAGAAAAAAATTTTTTGCTCACATATTTGTTTAATATAGATACATATATGTATATGTGTATAAATTTCCTCTATAAATTTCTCCTATTTCTTTTTATTGCTTAAATTTATTTCTAATGTAAATATAAAAAAATATATTCTTCCCTTTTTTCTCATACAATATCATATATATATTACATACTTTCTCATATACATTTTTTCCTTCAATCTACTCGTACAACTTCTCCCTATTTCTTTTATGTAATTTTTTTATTTTTGTTAGATGAAAACTAGTTCACATGTAAAATACATGCATGCAACGCAAACAAAATTTGAAGAACAAAATCTCAAGCGGAATATAGATTATTTGGAAAAATTTTCAAGTATTTTGAAAAATGATTCGCACGTTGCAAGCTGCATTTTCAAATTGTAGTAACCAGAACAATTGGCATGATAGAAGATTATATTTGCATTTTTTTAGTTACATATGTTTACAGTGCAGTTTAAACACAGATAAGTTAAGACTTTATTTTAAATGCAGAAACTGTGAAAAGATATGAGCAAAATGAATAGAAAGTATAAGTCTCTCTTTTCAGCTGTGTTACATTTCACATTTTCTGAAAAAAATATACCCTTCCACTGCTTCAAAAAAATAATGAATGTAAGATAAGGAAATAAAACGAGAGGATTGCTTCTCGTTTTATTTCCTTGTTTTATTCATTATTTCGATAAATTGAGTATAAATCTCTCCAAAGTTTTACTTGAAAGTCTTTCAAGTCATTTTTTTATTAAAGATAACCAGATTTTAATAAAACCTATTTAAAATTTTCCCTGTTTGAGGAGAACAATTAAAAAGTCAAAATGTTATATTGATTAAATCATTGACAAACAAAATACATAAATTTAATCAATAATCAGTCAATACAACGTTAAATTGACATTATTTTGACGTTCTTATGTTCTCCTTAATAAATAGAAATCCTGTTTCTTTTGCTCTTGCCTGCAAATAAATATTATTTTAGATAATCAAATTTAACAAAGTTATTAAAATTATCTAAGTATTTTTAATATAATATTATCCTGATATTACAATATATACAATTGTCATTGACGCGAATAACAGTATTTCTTCATCATATAAATAAGATTTATGATTTGTTGCAAATTGGAACAGTCGTATTTCGCAGGGGGTTTCGCGGGGGTTTTCAGATGACGCGAAAAATGTTAAGCTCCACCGATCATCCCCGAACGGCCCGAACGCGGCCGATCGCAAGTAGAGATCGCGTGGATCGCGTCGTGCTCCACTCCATTCTCAATTCTCATATCCCCGTCAATCCCCGTCGATTACCGTTGATCGTAGATCGGGGTTAGGGAGTGACGTAAGCGGGGGAAACAAATAGACTGCGGTGGAATCCGTCAATCCATGTCGCCCTGCCCGAGTGAGATTATATCGACGTTAAATGTCAAAGGACTCTCGGTGTGTAACGCGAGTGTCGTTCTGGATCGAGAGCGTCTCTCTCGCGTAGGCGTGGAGATGATCTGAGGAGAGGCTGAGACGAGATTCTCGCGGTCGACACCACCCGTCACGAAAGATGTTGTGTGACGTAGCGATGGACGCGAACGGGAATGGCAAGCGTGATCCTCTCCACGGAGGTCCTGTCTACTTCCATCGGCACGCGGCCACTAACGACGTGAGTCGAACGACCGCCCTGGAAAAGCATTTGGGAAACTTGCGTAACGTAAAAACGCGGCGATGAACCAGAACAACAATTACTCCATGGTCCTAACCTATCCCTCGCCAGTATCCTGCAGTATCCACAAATACTAGCTGAAAGACTTTCATGGTCAGGCTAAACATTAAATGCATGCTTTTGATGATCTGTAATTTACTGTCAGATTTCAGGATTGAATTCTATTAACTTTTATTTTTATGTGTTTCAATATATTATTGGTATATGTTGATGCTTCAACTATCTTTACATAGCATATGACAAATAGAATTCTCTTCTCCTGACAAGAATTATTGATCCTTTAATTTAGTATCAATTATATATAGAGTGTCTAAAATAGACTTTAAGATAGAATTCTATTTATATTTTTATGTGATTTGTATTTTGAGATATATTTTATATATGTATACGTTCTTTATGTTTCTTGTATTATATAACATATCAAAAATTATAAATGGATCTCTATTTTAAATTGTTTTGAAATTTTACAATAAAAAGTATTAAAAAGCATACAAAATGTCTTACCTTTTTATTAATTATTTGTGTTCTTAAAATAATAAAATAAAAACAATAATACTTATAGATATATTTAATACAAAAGCATATTATCCCTATTGTTCGTACACTGTTTTATGTTGAATTTAAATGTACTGTAGTAAATTTGTAATAACTAGATAGTATTAGACAATATTCATTTTCAACAGAAAGAAAAATTGCATGACTTAAGCAGCTTTCACTATTCTTGATTTTAATATTATTTTAAGTTATTTAACATATATGTCATATTTTTTCATTATTTCAGGAAAGCAACAGAACTACAGATTTAGAATTTGTTTATGACGACACTGATATACATGCTAATGAAATCGCCGAATTGTATAGTTATACAGAGCAATATGAGTTGCAGCTCAATCTTAAGGTATACTTTTATTTTAGTAGATATCAAGAATGAATTGAGTAACTTGTTATAAATTTCAGGCATTTGAAGATCAAATGGAATGGTACAAATTACGACCATGGTGGCAAAACTTGACAAAATCACAACATAGATCAGTAATCTACAAGTTATTAGATCAACTGGAAGTTTCCAACAAACAACTCAGAATGAAATCGGCGCGTTGTATTCTTTATTTAGCTCAGGGTTGTTGGGCTGAGGTACAGTCCGACAAGGAACAGCAAGACTGGACTAGGACAAATG